GAGCATGCGTCAGGCGAGTGTGCCCGACCCTCATGCGCGCAAGCAAGGGCAGATACACCAAGACAGATGGCTTCATTACCAGAAATTTGTTGTGCTGTGTAGCCGTCCATTCATCCTGTCGCGACAACAAAATTGTGAGACGAAGACCAGCACGAAATGTCAGCGCCGAAAGCTCTTTCTGAGGTCAGGATTGTAGGGACAGCATCTTCCTTATGAGCTCCATCTTAGTGATGTGTGAGCTTTGTCGCAGAAACACCACAGCGACCGCGTGACCTCTCAGATTACTTCCCTCATGCCTGAATTAACATCATCTTCACATCATTCAGTCTCAGCCAACCATGAGACGTCTTCCAGACTAAAATTCTGTAGTTATTCCTTGTTTTGTCCATCCGAATTACACGTAATGTCTCTTATAACTTCTTGAATCCACAATCTTAACTCCACTCGGTTGCCTGCGTGAAGTACTAAGTTTACTGTTACGTAACATCCCACAATCACCACTTCCGCTCACACCGTTACAATTCTAGCAAGAACTTTGTTTCAACCACCTGTATTTCTGGTCTTCCTTTAGGGTAAGAGGCAGAGCTGAAAAGAGAAAACGGATACTCGTAGGCCAGTACGGAATTTTTAAGGTTCCGTGTCTGCATCAAGTGACAGACCTTTGAGGCATATGCAGCTGAGGAGTGGTTATGCAGTCTGACGCATGCGTGATTGGATGGCCTCTGCACAACTTCATGTTACACCGAACTGGAGTCCGAAATGTCTCAACTTCTCAATACCGGACCAAACTTTTCATCAAGAGACGAATTTGATGATGACTTCGAATCATCCGGATGGACGGGAGAAGAAAAACAAACTGAAGTAAAATTCTTGGTGTCTTGAACGTCTGCGTCTGCGCGAACTGTATGTGCTTCTTGTGTGTTTGCATCCAAGGCAAGGTATCCCTCTCACTTCCCAGCGGGTATCTTGGTTACCTCACCGTCGTCCCGGTTCTATTTGCACATGCGTATTGCTCCCCCCAAACAACTGCCGTCCCTTGTTCCCGCTCTATGTGTATCTCTCTTCTGTCCCAGGTGGGTGCCTGGGTTGTCTTGCCTTTGTCACGTGTTTGCATCTCCAATGGCTTTTGTGTTCCAGGCTGGTGCCTGGGTTTCCTCGCCCTGGTAAATATTAACACGATATAGCAATGCAAGACAGAAACAATACTGTTATGCGTGAATTTTAATTCATATTATCAATAAAGCAACAGCACATACGTAGGAGAAGCGTTAGGAATCCTCCTATATTCTTTTGTATGTCGGACTATTGGCTAGGAGACAGCGTCCGGGAGGTCCTGAGACATGCCATCTTGACATAGGGTTTCTTGGTTTTCTTCTGCTTTTAAGCAAATGTTGAGAATGTAAGCTTTGAGGTTTTCACGGATGTGACCATGAAGAATGCAGTCCTCTGGGATGTAGCGCCGTATAGATCTGGCGTGAACCACCGTTTCAGAGGAACGTCTGCAGCCACCTGCTGATGCTGGTTCCCCGCTCGCGGATTTGTCTACCCTCAAGATGCAGGCGATACGTTCCTCCGAAACGTCGGTTCACGCCAGATCTATATGGCGCCACATCTCAGAAAACGGTATTCTTCTAAATGTTGAGATTGTTCTCAAATTCCGAGTTGGTAGTGGGTTCTTCTGATGCAGCCCTCCCGACTTCAACTCATCAAGACTAAGCCCCACTGCTGCCAACGCCACGAAAATTATTTCTCCAAATTATACAGTTCGATATTAATTCGGAAAATCAGAATTCCGCGGTCCCTCTTCAATCCACTGTTTCTAATTATTCTAACGTCATTTCCACCCCTCCTATCAGAAGGGGGTGGGGGCATGCGGTAGCGTAGTTGGTTAAGGCACTAGCCGGAAGGTCACGGGTTCGATTCCCGATGAGGTCATTGGACTTTTTCAATTTACATAATACTTCCAGCCGCACTATGNCGGGGGGGGGGGGGTCAAATGGCGGTCGGCGCGTAAGGCTGACAACCTCACCGCCATCTGTGAGCCGACTATCTAGGATATGTGGGAGCCTCGACGTCTCACAACCCCGTGGGCCTTCACGCCTGTTACAGGGATAGCTTTACTTTTACTTTACCTATCAGAAGGAAAAGTGGGCAAAGCCTTCGAACCTTCTAACGCATCGATGTTCTTTCTCCGCCCCCGCAGTAATGTGCCATTGACTTCTCCCATGACTTTTCACTTTCAACCACTCTTCTGCTATACTTCCTACATCTCCCTCTCTCACTGTAAGGATACTGACATCTTGGATACAAACATCCTTACTGCCGTCTCTGATTCAGCCGAATTTCGTACAAGTCTTGAGATAGGAGAGAGAACAAATAGGGAAACAGTCCGTGCAGCCATTTTCTGCTATCACTTCTTCCCGACATCAACAGGTCTCAGCAGTTACAAGGCATTTATAAAGTCTATATATCGTACTATGGCGATCACAGTGGCATCACAGGCCGCGCGGTCTAAGGCATGAACCGTCTTCACCCCCTCGAACATTGGGGATCGTGAGTTCGAATCCCACACGAGACATTGATGTATGTTTGCGTTTAGTCGGTGTTTGTGTTGTTCTGTGTGTAGGCAGCGGCCTTGCGACGGGCTCATCACCCGTCCAAGGAGTCCTACAGACTGTGGCCAGATTAAGAAACTGAAAAAGCGGCCAAGGTCCACAAGGGTTGTACAGCCATAAGTAGACTGATATCATACAAACACACTGCGAGATTCCAGTGAACTGCTGAGTTCTTTAAATACGAGCATGATGTAAGACTGTCATATCACAGAAAAAGTCACTGTATTAGACGAAAGCAGTTCTGCACTTGGCGCCCATGCCGGAGATAAAACTCCGGTCTTCAAATAGACGGCCAGTTACCTTATCGCAGCGCCTGTCTTTGTGTCTACCGCTAACGTACAGCAGTATGCAACCAGAAGCACAAGGGCTGTCACGTTTCACATCTCCCTGACGCGTGCTGGAACTCACATGCCGGTCCGGATGGTTGATTGTACGACTGGAGCTTCTGAACTTGCAGCAGCTATATAGCACGTCAACTACTTTTCAGGTCTTCAAGAATTCTCATCTTCCTGACAGGCCTGTCCAATTAGCAGTCTGTCTGAATTCAAACTCATTCCATTTTATTATCCTTATGAAAGCCTCACTCTCTGTTTAATTTTATTATCTTTGGTCTCATTGTTTATTCTTTAACGAAAGCCTGCACTACTGGCTTGCAGCTCTTACGGTAGGACACAAAGCTTGACCTTCAGATGGGCAGAAGCATGCGCACCGTGTCAATCTGGTAACTACTTGTCCCGCTTGCGGACTCTACACCACATATACCACCGAATTAACAGGAGTTTGTAGAAGTTTCTACTTACTTGAACCTACCGAGGCATAAACAACATTAAAGAATGCAGTTGCTACTTCACAGGGAAGTCACTGCGTATCCATTACACACACCAACCGGTTAACGTTGTCTGGGGAGAGTCACTATTTATTCCGAGAGCCAAATGAAAGGTACAAGTATAATACACATTGTGAGCAAATTGCAGCTTCTCTTAAGGATAAAGCAGTGATATAGTAACCGTACAGCACAGAGGTGAATCGTCAGCTTCAAGCCAAGGTCGCTTTATCCCCAGGGATAGGACATCAATTATCCACTAGATAGGAGGCTGGGTGGGCCTCACAGCCGGTCTGGACGATGTAGCGAAAAGAAAAACCTCTTGTCCCTCCAGGGAATCGAACCCCGGCCGTCTAGTCTCAAACCCGTCTTAATTTATTACATAAACTGTCCCCTCAGTGCTCTCGCGTTCTATTCCCAAGTATCTGTGTTATCGAATGATGCGTAGAGGCCAACGATTAGTGTCACCTTTAAGACACTGAAGGTAACTACGTCCGCGGATCCCATTAATAACACACGCACGCACGAGCACACACACAAAGTCACTCATAAACTTCCTATTACAAATACATTTTAAGCTGTTTAATTCTTCAAGATATGGGCCTAAGTTGAATATCTTACTGCATTCCTCTTTCTGTTTTCTGAACTTTGCCCGGTGTCTCTTTTTATTTTTCTCATGCGGTGAGACTGGGTCCACTTGGTACTGCGGCCACTGCTTGGCCTACTGTACCGGCCCCACTTATTTTTCTTTATTGCTAGTGGGGTGGGACTAAGTCCCTTGTACTGCGGCCACTTCTGGCCTATTGTACCAGTCCCAGATGATAGGTGAGGGTGATTGTGGAGCAGTTGGTGGAATGAAGATTGGCAGGGGAAACCGAAGTACTCGGAGAAAACCTGCCCCAACGCCACTTTGGCCATCACAAATCCCACTTGACCAGACCCGGAAACGAAACCGGGCCGCAGCCGTGGAAAGCCAGCGACTAACCGCTTGAGCTACGGCGCGGCCCTACCGGCCCCACTTCGTAGTTAATGATCACTGTGGAGCAATCGGGAAAATACGAACTGGCAGAGGAAACCGAAGTACTCGAAGAAAACCTGCCCCAGTGCCACTTTTCCCACCACAAATCCCACATGACCTCACCCGAGCTCGAACCCGGGTCACCGCAGTCTGAAGCAGGCGACTAACCCCTGAGCTATAGCACAGCCCTACTTTTGCTCTTACCGAGAACTTAAAATTACTCGAAGTAGGTTTATGTACTAAACGAAGAAAGGAAACGTTACGTTTCGCCTGAAATGTGCGTAGAAGGAAGCGTTAGATACCTTTACGTACGGTACATCACGGCCCTCCCGGGCTTCGTGATTATATTGTGTTAATAAACGGAATTCCGAAAGAATCACCACGTTGCTTGTGGTTCCGATTAAGTAAATAGCGATGAAAAGGCAACAAAAAGTGGTGCAAGGAAAACAGGACGACTAACTAAATTATGTCTGTCCATGAGGTTGCTAGGCGCACGTCCGGAAAATATCCTGCAGCCCCGTGGGCCTGGAGATGGCGGACCTACCTGTAGCTCCTCTTTGCACCGTCTCTCCTCCTCGAGCGACATCCGTTTCTCGTGCTTCTTGAAGTACTTGCGTTTCGCCGCCTGCAGGTTGAACCACGTGTAGGAGAACGACTTCACATATGGCAGCAGGGCTTCAATGAAAGGATGGAATTCATCCTGTAAATAAACAGAAATAATTCAATTGCTGAGGCAAATCACAAGCTCGTAGCTTAGTGGAGTTTAAGGATTTAAGGGAGAAAAAGTAACATAAAACAGAGGACAATGCACAATATGGAGCTTCATAACTGTTTTTTCCCTGTGGCGCTACAGCCCCAATTTGGGCCTAGGCCTACCTCCATGGAACTCTCCGTTTCACTTCGGTTTTTCTAGATCTTAAGACATTCGGTAGGACTCCTTGGGCGGGTGACCAGCTCGTCGCAAGGCCTCTACCTGTACACAAACACAGAAAAACGCACATAAACACTAAACATCCATGCCCTGAGTAGGATTGGAACCCACGATCCCGGCTTCCGAGCGAGCGAAGATAGTGCATGCCTTAGATCGCTCGGCTACCGTGACCGGCCAGCTTCATAATTTACTTTGTTACAATTCCTCTCCACGTCGTCCAAACCGGCTCTGGGGTCCACCCAACCTCCTATCCGATGGGTACCGCTGGGTACTTCCCAAAGAGTAAAGCGGCAAGGGAGTGAACCTGACCACTCACCTCCAGCTAGTGTCGAGGTCAAGAAAATGCGGATCTACATCCACTTCCCCATACGCCTTCATGGCGTAGTGCTTAATTAGTTAAGCACAGGGACAAATTTACCTCTAGCGAAAGGTAGAGGGTTTGATTCCCGATGAGGTCATTGGATTTTTCAATTGACCTAACCCTTCCAGCCGCAATACAGTTCTGGCTCGAGTCAGTCTTTAACAGAAATGAGTACCAGGAATCTTCTTGGGGGTATGGGAAGGCCGGCGCGTAAGGTTGCCAATCTCACCGCCATCTGTGAGCCGAGTGTCTAGAAAATATTGAACTCTACGTCTCACAACCCCTATTGGCCTCCACGGCCTGTTACAAGGATACCTTTACCTTCTTTTTTCGACCGCGCCATTGCCCAAACGATTAGTCACTGTCTTCGCACAGCGGTGGCCCGGGTTCGATCCCTAGTCTGGTCAAGTGGGATTTGTGGTGGACAAAGTGGCGCTGTGGCGGGTTTTATCCGAGTACTTCAGTTTCCGCTGCCAATCGCCATTCCACCAAATTCTCCATCATCATAATCACCCGGGGCAGGTACAGTAGACCAATCAGTGGCCACCTTGCCGAGTGGACCCAGTTGGACTCCACCTCCCACTAAGCGAAATTTTACCCTCTTTTTTTACCAAACCATATCAGGGTGAACAAATCAAGGGGGATGAAATAGGCACGTAGCATGTGTAGGAGAGAAAAGTAATGCATACGAAAGTTTGGTCGGAAAGCCCATAGGCATAGATGAGATGATAATATTAAAATGGATCTCAAAGAAACAGGATGTGATGTTGATGGCTAGGTTCACCTGGTTTCGGCTGAGGTTCGAAGAGAGGATACTGTAAGCGCGGCAATGAACATTCGAGTTCCATAACAGATCAATATTTCTTTGCCAGGTGAGTAACTTTAAACTTAAGAAAGGTTGTGCATCTTTATGTTAGTGTATATAATCACGATTTCGAGGTTATACACGATTTTTATCAGAATAACGGGGAACATGCAAAGTCGAGTAAAATCCTACGTCTGTGCCACAGAATGTATGACATATCTTTAAGGTAAATTTTAATATTATCCTCCCACTTATGTCTATGTCATCCGAAAGGTTTACTCTCATCAGGTTTTCCGACTAAACTATTCCACAATTTTTCCCAACGGTCTCGAATATGCTAATACTTCGACCATTTCAAGTTCCTTGATATTAGCACCTTACCAATAAAGATTTACGAGTATAAATTATGAAGCTCTTCATTGTGTAAGTTTCGCCATTCTCCTATTGCATCCTCTCCTTTAGGTACAAATATTCTCCTCAGAAATTTGTTCTCAAACACTTCAGTGCCTTCTGAAGGCTTTGAGGTTGATCAATGTCGATAATAATGCTGACACCGATGACCGACCGAGAAAACGAGGAAATTCTGTAAGAAGGAACAGCATGAAACTGATAATATAACCACTACACTTTTTTTTTAAGATTTGCTTAGTTGGGGGTGGAGTCCAACTGGGTCCACTCGGCACGGCGGCCACTGATTGGCCTATTGTAGCCAGCCCCGGGTGAGTATGATGTTGGAGAATTTGGTGGAATTGAGATTGGCAGGGGAAACCGAAGTACTCGGAGAGAACCAGCGCCACTCTGTCCACCACAAATCCCACTTGGCCAGGCTCGGGATCGAACCCGGGCCGCAGCAGTAGGAAGCCAGCGACTAACCGCTTGAGCTATGGCGCGGCCTAACCACCACACCTACTACATTCCACATAAATTCCAATTCCTCAGACTTGGAATGAAACCTGGTCCTTTCAAATTGAACGCTGTTCCAGCTAAAGTCACTGAACTACCTTGTAAACACTTCCATGTGATGTGTTTTCATTCATCAACCCAACTGCCAAAACTCTCGTCTGCCAACACTAGCGGGGTGTGGGATGCCCGTGTGGCCCTTGATGTAGCGTACAGCTTGATAATGTTTTATCGCTTTCCTCTTACGCGCGTACTTACAATGATCCGTTTCCCCCCCCCCACACACACACACACACACACAACGTCGTCGTCATTCGGCTGACCGCCGACGGCCACTCTGCCTTCATCGACTGGAGCCAACTTTTATTGTGATTGTGCCACTTGGCAGGCGGGCACAAGGGGTTGGCCCACTGGCCTATTACATTAGCTGGCCACTAGGATGCTCCAAGAAAGTACTGTCTACGCTGCTAGCCATGCCAAGAGGTTGCTGGCTTCTCCTCCTGGCAGTGGTCACGACCTTCACCTCCAAAAACTACCCTGACATCAGTCAATACAGCAAAACACAGCTCTCCGTTGCTGGAATGTTTCGAAGGTGGGAGAAAGGTTTCTTACGATGCCAATTTTTATAGCTGTTAGACACCTTTAACAAGAAGAGGTATTAGAGAGGGGGAAAAAAGGCAAGAAATGGGAGGATCTTGAGGGAAGGTCATCACCAAAGCCGGATGTTCGACATTTCTGTCTGTTTCAGTACTATTAACTTCTAAATCTATAACAACACATTTCCATCACCTTTCCATAGGCACACTTGAAATAGTAATATACAGGATTTTGTGAGTCTTCGGATATTTAAAGATGTTTCTACTAGCTCAGAGGGAGGATAGCTCAGTCAATAAAATAACAGATTATGGGTAAAAAGAACTCCGTGGCCTGTAGTCCGCAAGCGAACTATACCGACGGAGAGACCGCCGCTTCTCGGTTAAATTAGTGTCAACTCTTGCGGATAGAGGGTTTGGCGTGGTCAGCGCAACGGATCCCCGCGACCGTTATTCTCGGTTTTCTAGACCGGAGCCGCTATTTCTATTCAAGTAGTTCCTCAATTATCCTCACGAGGCTGAGTGGACCTCGTTCGAGATCCACTACTTCTCAGAAAATCTGGTAGCGCCGGGAATCGACCCGGGACCTCTTCATCTGTAGCCAGGAACTCTGACCACACCACAGAGGCGGTCGATTATGGGTCAAGGGATCATAAATTCATTCCAGGCTACAGCCATGCCCAGACCGGGGCACACTGACCCCGTATGAAGCGGCCGTAGCTGTCCATTCTGCTCCAAGTGCCGAGGTTAAGAATAAGTGGACTATACCTCCACTCCTCCTGTAACTACGTCTAACTAATTAAGCATTACGCCATGAAGGCGTAGAGGGAAGTTGGTGTATAGAGCTACGTTTTCTTGACCTCGGCATTAGTTGGAGGTCAGCTTCATGACCCGGCCGCTTTACTCCTGGGGAAAGAGCGTCCAGTACGCATTGGATAGGACGCTGGTTGAACCCCATAGCCGGTATGGACGGTGTGGAGAAGAGAGAATTTGTGCCCCTACTGGAACTCGAACTCCCTCCACTTCTCTTACACGCCATGATGGCTTGGTGCTGAGACTGTCAAACGGCTCGGTTCATTTCCCGGAAATTTGAAATGGAGCCGAAGAACACTTGGACGTGTGCTCTGTGCCTGAGGGCCCCCATACACACACAGTTTTGCCTCCAGTTCGGCCTCCACGTGTGTGGTACGGCCGGCCGGCCAATCGTTTGGACTCTTGGCCTGTGGGAAAACCGTCAGTCCGTCAGTTCTGCCTGCAAGACCGTAGCACGTGACGTGTGTGACTCAACATTATAGGCTGGAAGACCGTGATTGTGGCAAGAAGCCTGCCGCTTTATCTGCGCGTGTATGGGGAGGAAAGGGAGGGGGTAAACTGTCACAGTTTTGCCTGTAAGGTCGATCGGAAGGCCAAACTGTGTGTGTATGGGGGGCCTGAGACAATCACTGCGGACTGGTATCGGAAGGACGCTACAGCCTAGCTTCCAGACAACTCTCAAGAAACCCATCACATTGAAGTTACGTCTCTTGGAGTCCGGGTCACTTTACCACGCTACACTGGCTGATAACCGTGCATAAGTTCAGAAAATGCAGGATCCTAAATAGTAGAGAACTAGAATGCATGAGTAAAAGGTAAAGCTGTCCCTGTGCTTAACCAATTAAGCACCACGCCATGAAGGCGTATGGGGGAGTGGATGTATAGAGCCATTTCTTGACCTCGGCACTAGCTGGAGGTGAGTGATCAGCTTCACGCCCCCGTCGCTTCACCCCCGGTACCCATTGCATAGGAGGCTGGGTGACCCCAGTTCCAGTGTGGACTTAAGAAGATGAAATTCTTGGCCCTACCGAGACTCGAACTCCGATCCCTCGGTCATCCATCCCTTAACCAGTTGCTATACCGACTGCGCTATCTCGGCTCCCAAGAATGGAGGAGTTAGGGGGAAAAAAAATAACAGGGAAGGAGATAGAAACAGAAATTAGCATGAACTCAACATCGAAACGCGAAAGGAGCAAAGAGACAAGAATATATGAAAGAAACAGGATAACAAAAGAGAGGAAAAATAATTAGGATGACGAAAAGAATGAGAAAGAATAAAAATCGGGCAAGACATCCA